CTTTCATTACAATATCCTGGGTTAGGGAGAGGGGATGTTAGAGAAGATGCCTTTTTTCTTTACCTTTGCTAACTGTTGCTGAAAGGCAGCAGTTGCCCTGGCCTGATGCACAAACCAGCAGTTTTTTACTCCTGATGATCTGTTACAAACCAGTCTGAGCTTCTGAAGACAGCAGCAATTTGAAAAATTACGGTAGTTCCGTGCAAAGTCCCCAACTCACTTATTACTCTCCAGTGATGGATACACAGAGGCTGGAGCAGGCCTCGGATGCTGACAGTGCCTGGCAGCCGGCGCTGGGAAAGTTTCCATCTTTGCAGCCTCCCTGAGCCAGCACCAGGAACGATGTTGTGCTCCCAGCTGAGCATCACCATCACTACTTTTCCTTACAGCCAGCATTCGTCACATCATTTCAGCCTGGGAAAGGGCTGTACAGTCACGGCAGTTCCTGCTATCGGTCAGGCCCTTTTTGACCCTGCCCGTGCCCAGCGCTGTGTTGCCGCTGGCTAATCCTGTCTTCCCGCTGACGCACCTCCTAGGACACTGCTTGCCCACGGTGCTCTACCACTGCAGCTCCGAGAGCCTGGGGAAGTGAACTGGGACTGTGGTTTCCCCAGCAACAGGAGGCAAAAAGCCAGAGCCAGGAGAGACAATCATGAGAGAATTTTCTAATTGCCCTCTGACTGTCCATTATATGCCTACAGAAGGAAAAATGGGGATAAAGAGGAGAGCTTGGGCTAGAAACAGAAATTTCTTCTTCCCTTCTGTTTCCAGCTGCTGATAGAACTTGGGCCCAGTGGTCCACTGCCTCCTTGTTTTGCAGGCTGCAGTGATAAGACGGATCTTGGGTCTGTCTGAGAATAATTAAAGAATTGCATCACCAGTAACGGTGCGAGAATTTATTAAGAAGCATGTAGGAAAAAAGTGATCAAAGCAAAAAAACCAAAGAGCAAGAACAATACAGGATTGAATAAAAGACCATATTAACACATTTTATGAACCACTGCACCAGGAGAAACTAACCTCTACTGCTTGCTGAAAGAAGGACAACTCTACTGGGCAGTACATGAAATATGGGATAGAGAATGGTAAATTAGAGGGGTAACAGGTGCTGCAGGTCCTTACACAACACACTGACTATCCCTGCTCATTCTGGATTTATACTTTAAAGCCAACTGCAACTGCAATCTCCTTGTCCTGGATGAGACAGAGCACACGTCTCAGTCTTGAGCACCACAGGAGCTTCTTGTTGCCATACCAGGTTCCCAGAGCTGAAACCATTCATTGGGATCTACCCACCCAAGCCCTGTAGCTATCTTAACCTCGGCCCCAGGTGTCTTAAAAGAAGCTACCATTCTCTCCTTAAACTAAATAGATAATCCCTGCCTCAAGGCTATGGAAGGTTTGCACAATTATCCATTATGCAGTGGCTTAGGGAGTTGATTCACCTATTTCCCCCCCTGCCCTCAGGGAAGGATGGGAGATGCCCCAAAGGCACTAACTGGTGCAAGATAGGTGGGCCAGACAGATGGACTGCAGGGCCAGGGTTTGCATTATAGCAACAGGAGGATAAATCCCAGATTTTTTACCTGACTGAAGGCAAGAGGACAGATAGGAACAGCCTCCCGTAGCGGCTTCATCGGCAAGTGTGATGGTAGGTAACGCGACAGGGCTCCACCAGGCCAAGCACTGACCTGCTTGGACATGTCACTGTTTGACTGTGCAGTTCCTCCTGCTCCAGCAGGAAAGGCAACTCATGTATGTTCAGGAGAGGACCTCATTTCTGGTAAGAGGCCTGTTACTGCTTAACATCTTAACACTCTTGTTTTACACTACCCTGACTAAGGCAGAGCAAGAGCTTTCTAAGATCCAGGAATAACGCTGGCAGGTTCGCTACATCTCCAAAAATCTAAATAAATAATCTGCTCTTTTTGCTCAGTTTGTATACCTGCAGTCTGATAAAAAATGCTATGCATCTGTGTTAGCAAAATTCCCAAGGAGAGATGTTCAGCTACAGCATCCTCAGATTCCCTCAGTGAAGCTGTTCCCTTCCCTGGCTGTAGGAAGCCTCCTCGCAGGAGAGGGAAGCTACTTTCCTTGCACAGGAAATGACCTTCAGCAGTCTCACGCCTCAGACCCTCCCAAGGACCTGCAGACCTGAGACCTCTCAGGGAAGAATTTGCAGCAGTACAGATGCCCAACCAGATCCCCACGTAGCAGCGTCCTCACAGATCTCCTGTGGGTCTAACAGGTGACCCCGGCTCTCTCCATCTCGCCGGAATCAAAGGGTGAACAAGCAAGTGAAGAGAGAAGAACTGCACAACAGGCTTGGTGTGGGAAGTCGTAACTCTAGTGTGGACAAGCAATAGTTGGTGTGACGTGAACCTAAGGCACACAAGCCTGTGGGACGTATTTGATCTGGGTTAGTGGGCAAGTGGCTTGATCTTCCGCGTGATCTCTCCATTGTATTTCTGATCTGGGTCTAGATCAGAAAGCAGATTTAGCAGTTCTTAAACCTTTTACTGCAGAATCGGAAAATAAAGACTGCAAGTAACGAAGCCCAAAACTCCCTCAGAAGATGCAGCAGAGATGGACAGAGATGTGGTTTACCCTGACCTCTTCCATAGTAATTTTGACCAGGCAAACTACCTTCAGCTGTCCAGCAGGAAACACAGAGGTGATGAATACCTCCGTTTCACCCTCCTGGAAAGCCAGGCAGCTTGGTTCTGATGGAAGGGTGGAAGATCATTACTCAGGCACAACTAACAAAGCAGTCCCCCTTCTGATAGGTGTTTAATCACTCACTTTAATTCAGTTCTCTTTCTAACGGCACTCTAGCCTTCATTTCAGACATGAGGCATGTATTTCCACATGTAATTCAGATTATTTTATTGGGATATCAGAGGTAAGACTTACCTTCTCGCTGTTTTAACACTGAAGTGGTACTTGGATACTATGAAGCTCACCACACCACAAAAATTTGCAAGTAAGGGAAGGCCCAAATACCATCACCCTTTCATAATTAAGTTTAAAAGCCATTTGTAAAATCAATGGCATATTATCCAGAATTTCCTACTAAGGAGTCTAAGCAGTGTTTTGTCACAGCATGCAAACTCCAGCCTGTACCATCCACCTTTTCACAACAGAAAATTTCTAGTTGCTGACTGCAGAGGGAGCCAGGTCCTCAGTACTTCTGGAGTAGTTTTACTCCAGGAAGGAATTCCAAAGGAGTTAGCAATCTGCTCGGTGGCAATTCTGCCATGCAAGAGGTATCTAGAGATGACTGTTCACCCCGTGTCACACCGCTAGAATTCCAGGAACAAAGGCGTGACAACAGGTGTTAGCAAGCACTTGCACAGTGTGCTCACACCAGAGGGAGGAACGCAGGTAACATGCATTCACCACATAGGAAATTGTAAAATATTCTGAGGAAGGAAGCTTGTTTAGAATTCAAATGGGTAAATGAAAGTGGTAAGTAGTTAGCCATCATTATTACAGTGTTTCTTCATGAGCTAAAAATTATATGTGTTCAGAGGTGAGTGTGTGCACCATGTCGGATTCAAGTCCTTGCTGAGATGTAAAGGACATTTTCCAGCTTTCACTGCCAGGCAAAATGCTGCTGAAAGACTGACCAGGTTGGAACTACCACTCGTGTTCTGACTGCATTGAAGTGGCTACAGAAAAGACACTGAGGAAAAATGCACACAGTGAGTTTATAGTGGTATGACAAACCCATGATTAGCAGGCCTCCAGAGGCACTTGGGCTAGGGAGACAGATAAGGATGTAGAACCTACTGGAAATGCCAATAAATCATTACAAATGCTGCTCTTAAGCATCACTGTTAAATTACTCAGTAGCGCTATCTCAAAGAGGAGAATTTGCCAATCTCTCAATTCTTCTGTGTGGGAGTAGGGGACATCTGAATAATTTACATGCCCCAAAGCACCTTGAAGCCGGCAAGAACTGACAGCAACCCCTTGATGTCAAGGCAGCTTGCACCTAAAAGAAACCCTGCTTTTTGATACTGAAGTCGTTAAGGAGTTGGTGGTTGTGCCATGATCATGATCAGACCTTGGAGTCCTAGAGGACAGTCAGTTGTCCATGGGACAGCAACGTGCCCTTGTGGCCAAGAGGGCCAATGGGATCCTGGGGTGCATTAAGAAAAGTGTGTCCAGCAGGTCTAGGGAGGTTCTCCTCACCCTCTACTCTGCCCTGGTGAGACCACACCTGGAATACTGTGTCCAGTTTTGGGCTCCCCAATTCAAGAGAGACAAGGACCTACCGGAGAGAGTCCAGCTGAGAGCTACGAGGATGATTAAGGGACTTGAACATCTCTCCTGTGAAGAGAGACTGAGAGAACTGGGGCTGTTTAGCCTTGACAGGAGACAGCTGAGAGGGGATCTTATTAACATATATAAATATCTGAGGGGTGGGTGTCAAGGGGAAGGAGACAATCTCTTCTCAGTGGTGCCCAGTAATAGAACAAGAATTAATGGGTTTAAGTTAGAACATAGAAGTTCCACCTCAACATGAGGAGAAACTTCTTTACGGTGAGGGTGACGGAGCCCTGGCACAGGCTGCCCAGAGAGGTTGTGGAGTCTCCTTCTCTGGAGACTTTCAAAACCCACCTGGACACGTTCCTGTGTGGCTGCCCTAGGGGATCCTGCTCTGGCAGGGGGGTTGGACTAGATGATCTCTAGAGGTCTCTTCCAATCCCTGACATTCTATGATTCTATGATTACAACTCCACTTAGTTTTGCCTTTGAGCATATCTCTAAAAACTCCAATAACTAAACATTAGTTTTTAAATGACTGAACTGCTAAGTAATCACCTTAAAAGACCAGTATAACCTTGTTAAGTTATTGGACAATGTGGTTTCCTTTTTTGTATTTTTTTATTATTTTTTTTTGTTCTTAATTTTTGTTTGTTGTTGCTGGTTTTTTGTTTGTTTTTAATACAATTAAGGATGTACCCCACAAGAAAAAGCAAAAAGAGTCCTTATGGAAAAAAACAAATATATTGAACACATACCAATCAAATGGTACAGATATGGGACTGGCTTTGATTTCAAAATTTAAGTAGAAATAAAAAAAGATGTAATGCAACAGCTGTTCAAATTCCAAGTCTAAATAGGCACTGTAAAAAGACATTTCCGCTTTCTCCAGCACACATTCCTGTCTAAATGCTCCCACTGTAATCAATTCATAAGTTCCCAAACAAAACAAATCACTGGGAACATAACCTTAGAGTAAAAGTTAATATCCATCCACCCACCCTCTTACAAAAAAAGCAAACAAAGTGAAGTCCCCCAAAATACAACCTTTCAATGCTGCTGTTTTGACTGGAGCAGAATTGGAGAATTTATAAAGGTTCAAAAGCACCCAAGGCAAGTAGTACAATATCATTTGTTCACTAACTTGTATTGGAAAGGAGATTAAAAACATTGAGCTCTGCATCTTGGTACATAAAACTGTTGTCCTGAATAAAGAGAAATCTTTCAAGAAAAGTTTTACAACTCGGTGGAAGTCCAGGACCCAGCTTTAGGCATCATTAATTGATGGGGTTTAATTCTGACTCGGTTATAACCACTTTTATATACTGTACAGCTACCCTAGTTGGATCAGTGTCTGGAACTGCTCTCTGGTGTCCCTTTGAACAACTGTAAACTAAACCATAGTATGCAACTCCATAGGAAGCTAGAGATCAGGTGAATATACAGCCAGTTATATCTCCCCTGCTTCGCGCTCTTCGGAGCTCCTCGGGTCTTCCGATCGGCCGTTAGCGCTTTCGTAAGAACGCTTCTTGTCTTTGAAGTCTCGTGGTGACCTCTCCCTTGAGCTTCGATCTTTATCGCGCGATGTTCTATCACGATCCCTCGAACGTTCTTTGTCTCTGGAAGATCTTTCTTTTGAAGATCTGAAAAGCACAGTAAATTTGAGAATTCAAGTTAGTCATGAACCTGTTGCTATAGAACAGCATTCTCAGATTTTATTTCCCTTCTTTTTCCAACCCAACTTTAGATACAGAAGTGTATGAGAAGACATCAGAAATCATTCCGCTCTTCTCCAATTTCAAAAGACAAATATTATTAGAGGCAGAATTTAATCTATTTCAGAGCCCAGAATAAGGTCAACGTGCTTCACTAAATATCCTATTTTCAACTTCTGCCCTCAAGTTTGCGTTAGCAGAAGTTTAACTGAAATTTCTCATCTGTAGTCTCTGACTGGCTAATAACGTCTAGCGCAGTCTATTTCAGAAATAAAAATTACAAACTTAAACATGTTTAGAAATCGGAATTTTATTAAAAGCAGGGAGAAATTAACTTGCATAGTTCTGGAATGAGGCTATCCAATAACAAATTTAGACCGAGTCTGTAATCTGTGCCACAATTAGGTTTTGTTAGAATATTTTGTTAGATATTTTTCTCTAATAATAGGCATTTCTGAAACCTTTACAATGGAGTCAGAAAAGAGCTGCTCTGTTAAACAATCCAGATAGTTTTAAATTAAATGAGCAACATGTATTGGAAAAAAAAGACTGGATTAGACATCCTCCTCTATATTCCTCTCAAAGTGTGCATCTAAGTGTTGTTGGTAAGCACCACATTTTCATTTTAAGATGCACTGCAATCACAAAAGATTTAAAAACATACTTTGGCAGAAAAAAAACTTGACAGGAAGCCACTAATTTCTTAGTCAAAAGATCTGGTGTACTGGACAGTGAGACTGTACTCTTACCAGTTACAGAAACATAAAGCTTTAGATCTGAAATCTGCAAATTGCTCCTGCACTGATCTCCTTTTCTAAGTTACAGAGGACCCTTCATTTTAGTTCCTCAGCTGAAAAGATTACTTCCCTACAACATGGCGTTTCGCAAGACAGTATCTGCAAACAGTGAGATCCACAGGCATTACACTCCTATTCCGCAAACTACACATCAAATAAGAGGAGCTACGCACCAAGTAAGAAGTCAACATGGGAGGTAGCACAGCTGCTTCTCAAGTATTTTGTGCTGCAAGTCCCCAGCAGAAGTAACAACACTTCCAAATGGCAGACTTGGGCTAGCCCTAGGAACTGACCCCAGAGCAGGCAGATAGACAGGACATGACACCACCTACAGCTTTGGCTTTTCATTCAATGCATTTTTGGAGGGATAAAAGATGCGTTTATCCAGCCATCCCATCTCTCCACAGATGAGTCTCTAACCAGCTGGCAAGGAAGACTGTCTTTAATGGATCACAGCGCAGCAATGTGAAAATTTCTATGATCAGCTGGCAAGGAAGACTGTCTTTAATGGATCGCAGCGCAGCGATGTGAAAATTTCTATGACTGCTTTTGCAAGCAGTATCACTAGCAGAAGCCTTAGAACTAAAACATCATTCCTGTCTTTCACAAGGGCAAGTTACAGCCTTTTAAATCAGAATCTCTACTAGATCACACGCTCTAGAATGCTTGGAAAGCATTACTTCCTAACTGATCAAGTGGATTCTTCAGCAGAAACTGCCCCCTTCACTAGATAACGCAGGCAGCACCAACACTGTCACCTTCACCAACTACGAACTGTGCTGTAATATGACAAAGAGGAGGCTGAGGGGGACCTCATCATGCTCTACAATTACTTGAAAGGACATTGTAGAGAGGTTGGTGCTGGTCTCTTCTCACAGGTAATTAGGGACAGAACCAGGGGGAATGGATTCAAGTTGCAACAGGGCAAGTTTACGCTGGACATTAGGAAGAAATTCTTCACGGA